GAACTTGTTATTTCATTGATTTGCATCCAGAAATACAGGTTGACCCAACCTGAGACTTTCTTTCTTGAATTGATCAAGTAAAAGAAGACTACTTTCTATTATCATTACCATTTTACAAATGTTTGATAATCAAATTGTGTTAGTTCAAACAATGTTTACATGTTGAAGTGAACTACTCATTTTTTATTAACTGTGAAACCGTAATAATGATTCTTAATCCTCATTCAAAGTGAAATCAAGTTGGAATACGTTACAGAGTAATGATTCAATTTCTTGATTTTCTGTCTTTGAATGAGCAAGGTAAGTTGGTCCAAGGTTGGACTCAACGCAGACAAGTGTTGGAACGAACTGTCTTGTTTTTACATCCTCTCAGACGTAAATAGATGTGCTTAAAAAAGATCTACACAAACGATGAGTCTCGCCATAGACTTCCAAAAACATTTATGGGGAAACCAAAACACCCAATCTCAAGTCGTTCGTCTAAAAGACAACAGACAATTGAACCAAACTATATTTTGCCATGTAAAGCTAACTTAAACCAAGTTAGGAATGGAAAAATAGTTTGGAACACTTTTCTATAGGTATAAACCCCTATAGTTACCCTTTTCAGCATGTTCCACCCCTTAACTGGTAGCTGTAGCTGTTCCCAATCATAATAGCTTACACACCAGGTGCATATAGTTTAAGGCCTTATGTAAAATCCCCTTCATAAGCCCACCTTAAACCACATAATTGCATGACACATTTGAACCAGAACGGCACAGACTGGACATCCACCCAGCGACGACCGTCGCTGGAGGAGACCTACAATCCTGACGTTGGTCTCCAATCTTCATCCAGTGGCCGCATCTTCGGTTCAATCCAAGGGAACCCCTCTGTATGCTGATCAATCAACACTTCCAATCGTTGTGGATTTACCGTTGTGGATTATATGACTTTTTCCAATGGATTACAGACACTGTTTCCAAGGGGTTAAAGCATTGCTACAATGGAATTACCAACAACATTATGGAATTATCATCAACACAATGGAATTACCAAGAACATTGTGGAATTACCTTGACTTTTGTTTTCCTTGCTGGATTATTTTTGACTTTTGTTTTCCTTGCTGGATTACTCTTGACTCCTGTTTCCTTGCTGGGTTACATGAAGACCAAGGACATTCGAAGGCGTAAGTTCATGTTTGGAATTCATCCCCATGGACAGGCGATGATTTCCAAAGGGGGGACTGTAGTGAACTAAGCCTAAGGTCAGGATTTGACCTTATGGGACAGAA